TTGATCATCATCAGTGACCTGCAAGTGTTTCAAACAACCATGTTGCCGTACAAATTTGGTGATAACTTTTCAGAGGTCAGACTGGAAACTTCCAGTTTTTTTCCAGAAAGATATTCCCTTCAGAAATATTTTTTGTATCGTTTTGAATTTCGATAAGTCTCGAGGTTTATTTGAGAATAAATAATTCCTGATATGATGCATCCTGCGCATTTTTGAAAATTAATCTAATTAGTCGGACTGTTCATTCATCATGGCTTCAATGTATTCTTATTGTAAACAAACTGATATTTTGCTGGCCGTCGCCGGCTTTACAAGAACTTTTGCGCTACAAATTTAGCGAAAACTATTCAGGACCTAAGGTGAGCACTTCAACGCCTTATACCAACGAAATGATTTTGGATGTAGGTAAGTTGGCTTAAATCAACTCATTCTCATCACAGGAGTCTACAGTAAAGCCATGTCCCAACCAGATTATCCTTCTAAAAAATGCATAAGATGCCTCAGATCAGAAATTATTTATTTGCAGATGAACCTTGAGACTTATCAAAAATTAACACGACACAAAAAATATTTCTGAAGGGAATATCGTTCTGGGAAAAAAACTGAAAGTTTCCAGTCCGACCTCTGAAAAGTTATAACTAAATTTGTACGGCAACAAAGTTGTTTGAAACACTTGCAGGTTACTGATGATAATCAAAAACAGCTCAAAACGTGACTTATAGTCACAGAACATGTCATGCCAAACATTATGAAAATCGATCTCAGCTTATCCCATTTGTGAGCAAAATTATTTTTTTCCAAAAAAACTTAAACGCCTTGTACCAACACAACGAGACGATTTTGAATATAGGTAAGTTGGCCTAAACCAACTTGTTTTTATCCCAGGAGTCCACAGCCAAGCAATGTCCCAACCCTTTACAGGGTTTCATGTTCATAATTCATCTGAGAATATTCCTTCTCAACAGTGAATACCATGTTCTATTTATATCAACTGACCAGGAAGCAATGCTATCGTCTCCGTTCAGAAGAATGCAAGCAGATTCTTTGATTTTTCTCTTCTGGTTGTTATCTTCTTTTCCAATGATTTTAATATTATTCTACCCTGCCATATGTTGTCCATCTTCAATTAGGATATGTTGAGCTATTTAGTTTCGATTTGTCGATATGTGTCTCTTCTTTATATTGTATTTATGTTCCTTCATTCTTATTGAAAAATGTCTCTTGGTTTCACCTGTATAAAACTTGATGGAAACCTCCTGTAACTCATTTGATTACCAACGTCATTAATTGTCACTGAGAACTGAGAAGTGTCAAGACAAATACGAAATTGCCATAAAAAGCAGAACTTTATTGAACTATATTTAGTGGAAAAAGAAGTTCTTTATTGCACTATTAGTGCAATAAAGTCTTTATTGCACTCATCTGTCATTCTACTTCAACGTACTGTCATCATGACAAACATTTTTTATATTGCAACTGTGGTTATAGAAACGTCATATATTCATATTGAAAATTGCACCAATTGTTTATTCACTTTCAACATTGAATGTAAAAATAAAGTTTGAGTTAAATTGTTCGTAACGTATTAGTTCCTGTTTCAATGCAAATCGATATTAATAATAAAGTATTCAAGTTGCGTTTTTCATTTTCCTACACCTAGTGCCGCAACTCAATGAATCATTTTTTGCTTTTTGCATGAACGTAGAAAAAAAATGTTGTATGCAACTCGTGCAAAAATTGTTTATTGCACTCGCCGTGTTGTTCAACTCGGCCTAACGGCCTCGTCGGACAATTTCACGTCGAGTGCAATGAACATTCACTTTTTGCACTTGTTGCATAAATAATTTTCATACGGGAGTAAATTTGTTCCCGAGTCGTCCAAAGATAAGTGAAAATTTGATATTTTTTCTATATACCTTTATTTCTCTTTTCCAAACCTTTTTCAACACAAATTGTCACTGACAAGCTAGTGAATTTTTCTTTCAGGCTCTCTGATAGGAAAATTCTTTAAACGCATTGACATTTTGGGTCAAATCATCTGATTTGTCCTCAGTACACATATATTGAAATAGTATCCATATTTTTATTTTATAGAGACGAGGAAAGAAAATCCCAAAAACCTACTGGCAGTATTTATAATATGGAATATTCAAAATTCCCGCTACTCGAAATAGTTGAGCAACAAAACACCAGAGGCGCTGTCGAAATGAAACAAGATGTTACATGTACGGTCGTATTCAATAAAAAAGCGTACAAGTATTAAAAAGAGAGGATTTCGGGATCCTAGTTCTAGTTGTGTAGAACTGGCTCAGCCAATGCTTTGTGTTTTCGAGAACCTATGATAACTTTACTGTCAACATTTGGTGAACAATCATTCCCGATAGCCCGTTTTATGCAGACTAGGATGGCGTTAATTTCTCTCTGTAATATACTTGTACGCTTCTTTTTGAATGCGACTGTACGTTGAACATCTATTGTAGAGAGTAGTTGGTCTATGAATGCGATGTTGCATTATTTCCACAATAATGATTCCATTCCACTTCCCAGCAATCAACACTGTTTAACCGGGAAAAAGTTGTTATCCTAGACATTGTTACAATTAATTCGTTCGCCAGTCTGGAATCGACATTCCTTCCTTCAATACTCCGATCTAGTGTTCCGATTCCACATCGCTAGACGTAGAGTTCAGTAACTCCTTCACCTTCGGAAGTAATTATCTCGAAGCAGCCAATTCGCTGCACGTCAATCGAAGAAGCATTTTGTACAGTAATTTTCTTAATTTCACAGTTTGAACAGGAAGTTTCACCTGCTTAAATTACTGGAAGTTAGTTAATGTAAAGAGTTCCGGTTAACTCGTTAACTGCTGACAATGAAGTACGCTTATTGCCTTCTCATCTCCATAAGTTCTGTGTCGCCTACTCTGTTGGTCGAACTTGTACAGTTTTTTTCCACTTCGCGAAGGATGATGGAGAAAAAATAGAGAAGTTCTATTAAGCTAGATGGTTTTATCAGATTAACCGACTGAGATGAAGTGGAATAATTTGGTGCAGAGTGCCCTAAATTGAATTAGAATTTCAAATATTGTAGACAATTCGGTTGAGACTAACAGGAAGGCATTTCATGAGAATGTCGCTAGAAAACGGGCAAGAAATATTTTGATCGTTGGAATGAACTTCATCAGATTATTATAAATTGATATGGAATTGAATTGTGTGAGAAGAGAATACACTTACTGGGAAATATTCAGAAACGACTGCTACCTGAATAGATGTTTGTTGATGCAATCCTCATTGAGAGAATTGGTGCTGGATACGTTTGATAAATATTATCAAGAAATTTTAAGTGTTATCTTATTGAAATGAAATATCGACTTCAAATAGCGGTTCATTGCTCCTAGCATTTTCTTTCAATTTTTCTCTTCATGGTAGTCATGGTAAAAATGGCATTTGTTGATATTTTGACGTTTCAACCAGGCGAGAAAATCACGGTCCTATTTACACGTGAAATCTATCGGATTTCGTGAATAACTATTTAATATTTGACAACAGCAAATGAGTTGTTGTCATCTCACTCTCCGCGCGGACCATGGTTGCCAGATCGATTTTTATTTCATCAGTAAATACCTTGTCAAAAATTCAAATCTATTTTATGCTATACGAATTCCAAGAAAAGATAATCAAATAAACCTATGCTGACGTCAAAACATTATGCACTTTCAGTAAACAGAAAAGTAACCTATTTCCAACAAAATAGAAACAAGAAAAACAATCATATTAAATTTTTAATTCTGAATTGAAAAATACTGACAAATATCACAAAATACATTACAAATAGGTACAGGGTGATTCACCATAAATGTACCCCCCTCTAGCTCACTCATTTTTGAACCGATTTAATAATTTGAAAAATAATCTAAAGTGATTTTTCAGAATTTTTTTTCTCGTTGCATCAAAAAATTCAGGGTGCTCGGAACACATGATCAACAGAGTACTACTTGATTTTTTCAAATGGAACACCCTGTATTCCATTGTATTTTCAGATTCTTCCTGAAGAGCTGATTTCATCAATGCATCACACTTGGGGTCTAGCAGGAATGACTACAGATATATAGGGTGTTCAAAATCGAGATTTCTCAAGTTTAGGATTTTTTTGTCTCGAAACTATTCATTATTGGTCGAAACGGCTTCTATGTTTCCATCTTAACTTCTGATTTACTGTCTACTGACATTTAATTGGAACATCGACAGGGTGGTTCAAGATTCAGAATTCTGATAACCCTGTATCTGTTCCAATTAATTAATGTCAGTAGATAGTAAATCAAAAGTAAAGATATGGACATGGAAGCCGTTTTGACCGATGATTTATAGTTTCGTCTCAAAAAAATCCTAAAGTTGAAAAATCTCGATTTTGAAAACCCTATATCTCTGTAATCATTCCCGCTAGACCCCAAGTGTGATACATCGACCAAATCAGCTCTTCAGGGAGAATCTATAAATACAATGCAAAATAGGGTGTTCCATATAAAAAAATCAAATAGTACCCTGTAGATCGTTTGTTCCGAGCACCCTGTATTTTCTGATGTAGCGGAAAAAAACTTTATCGAAAATCATTCAAGATGATATTTAATATTCTGAAATCGATTTGAAAATAATTGAGCTAGAGGGGGGGGGGGCATTTATGGTGAATCAACCTGTACTCTGTCTGTACTCATAAGATTTGAGTACACAAAAAACAGGAACGACTAGTAATAATGAAAAACAAAAATACAAATGAAATAAAAAAATTGAACGAGAGAAACAAACTGTCATAACAGAGGAATATGAAAAAATTTATTTGATCTGAATGAGATGAAGTATTGTCCCTTTTTGGTTTATACATATCAAATTTATTACTTATTTTGTAAAATAAATTCGAACAGAGCGTGCCAAAGTATCATGCAATTGATGAGTGTATGTGATTAACTGGAGATGAATAAAACGACAAAATAAAATTATTTTTACCTTCAGTCGGTTGTTGTGTAGATGAGCCCATCGTTATCTGGTCGTTGCTAACATCTTTGACATCTTGAACCAAGATACAGTTCGAAGAATCTATGTTAGGTTTCATGGAGCTGACAGCTGAAATGAAATGAGAACCCATTAAGTGCATCCGCCAAAAGTTAGAAAAAGCTGCTTGAATGGCGTTTGGTGTGTTCATGCGCCTCCACCATTTTGTAGCACGATTGACAAAAGCCATCGCAATTAATTGAACATCGTCAGTTTGATATAAAAAATTCAAATTCTATGGTGAGAATATATAATATTGTTGTGAACTATAGTACCAACCGAATGAGCTTGACCTTCAAAAATAAAGTAGCCATTTCAATACTGTACACAGGTCGTGTGACATTTTTTTAGGAATGTTGTCCTCAACATAGTGCAGGGAGAACAAACCTTGGCAGCTCGGCAGAAGGATCATTTTGTGGACATCTTTGTTCGAATCACTCAGATGGATCAGTTTTGTAGACAATTGTGTGCAGGGATGGGGTAATTTCTGAATATTTGCTTGTGTGGGAGTGAATTGAACGGGACCTCTAGGCAATGACGGCTAAATATCAAGTGAGCTGCCTCAGGTCGACAGTTCACTTGATATTTAGCCGCCATTGCTCTAGGAAACAGACTAAACAGCCATAGTCCTCTGCAGGGGGCATCGCATGGCTAGACCAACCTCTTTCCCTATTACCCGTAGGAAAAGGAAAACTGTTAGCATCCTCCATGAACAAGTTCAGGGCTGAGAAGAGTACAGTCTTCAGGGTTTTCAATTAGAACGCTCTTTCAAACGAACCTCTGGTACTGTGAGCGGCAGTGCGTAAAATTACTGTGTTGATATTTGTGGCCCTATACCACAGTAAGAAGTGCGATACGCTACCGAACCTCACTTATGAAATTAGCCAACAAGACGGAGACGTATCAGTCTCTCCAGCTATGCTGCCATTCACATGCCCCATATGTAACGATTGGGCAAACGGTCTGTATATAGTCTGGCTTCTGAATGATGACAGCAGAAAGAGTGTGAGCCCCTGTAGCACAATAAAAATTTTGCGATCATCAGCTCACTGTCAATTCAGAAACGGAATCTGAAGTGCTTGCTAGATATGGTGGTATCAATTAATTGTTCTGATACTCTATAGGCTCCGTGGACTGAACCCCTAAATCATCTCCCTTTTACCCCAGATCTTCTTTGGCGCATCGAACTATACATTAATTGATCTGAAGATGATGAACCATCCTCTTTAGTTAACAATCCTCGAAGCTTACTTGCGACCAATACGATCAGCCCGATGCTGAGAAACTTCCAGGAGCATAACGCATACCATATCAGAGTGGTTTGTTTGGAAATAAGGAGTATGTTGTAACCAAAGTAACTCACTTAATAAGAACAAACAATAATCCAAAAATACTATTGTCCTCATGGATCCTTGAACAACTTAGTGAGAGTATATTTTGAGGAATATTGCAGTGTTTCATACTTCGCGTACCGTAGTGAAATAAGCAATACTTTGCTGAACCTCAGGGAGATTGAATTCAATCAAGCTGCTGACCAAATAGGTTTCGACTGTGAATATGACTACTGTGACGTCAGTGTACATGTTATGGTTTCTCTTTGCTTATGCTTTAGTTTTGTCTACAGGGACCGCTGCTTGTTGACGTGGTGAGGACGGACTACAAAATCATCGTGCTTGTGTCAGAGCCCAAAGGTATGTCTCCACCAAAGCAACATACACTGCAACAACAACATGTTTAGTCACGCTATGTTGCATCATGTTGTTATTTGTTGTACTATGTTGCATATTGTTTATGTCGTGGTAATCAAGATGTTGACGTTTGTTCTGTGTTTCGGTTTGGAGCGGTAAAGATCAAAGGAAAATGTGAAACACACGCAGACATTCAGCAAATAAAGACAAATTGTAGTTGGTGTGGACGGTTTGTCGCAAGAAATTGCAACAGAAAGTTGCTCGTTGTTTCTTATTAAAAAAAAGCGTTCAAGTGGACAACGGAAAATTGAAATCATCATCATGCAACATTATTGTCTTTGTGGAGACACTTCGTTGGTGGAAGTTGTTCTAGACATTTTGTATCACCAACAAAGTTGAACTATGTTGGTCTGTGTTGCATTGATGGAGACATACCTTTAGAGTGTTGAAGAACACCCTAGCTGCAAATCAGCGTTCATATATTATCGGTCACCTCTTTGTGCGGTGTTCCGTACGGCAGTGAAATACACAATATGATGACGACTGAAGAACCTTACCTGCGAAGTAAGCCAACATGGCGGACAGCCCCACAGCTAGCACGATCAGCCCGATGCTGAGGCACTTCCACGAGCACCTGTGCCGGCACCTTTGCTTGTCGATGTGGAACCTGGACGGCGAGTAGGGCGAGTAGTGGGAGGCGGCCGGTGCGGCTGGCCGTACCAGGGGAAAGACCGGCATCACCAGGTTGGCAGGCTGGCCGGAAGGGGCGGGCTGCAGGGTGCCGCCCCCCGAGTTTTGCGGGGCAGACGAGATGGACTGCGAAAGCTGCGTTTGGTGCATCGAGCCCAATCTGGAACAAAAAGTGGGGATTGTGAGAATCATTCATGGATTTTCTGACTTGGTGTCAACAAAAATCATCTCTTTCTCTGAAAATGAGTGAGATATTCGGTAAGGACATTGAAAATGGGACAGCCTGAACATATGTTTCTTATTGATGCATGTTTTTCCTTTCAATATTTCTTCTGAGACTCGGTTTCACTCACTCCTGACCTGACAGCAGTCTACAAAAGCGCCACAATTCAGCATTGAGTCGAAAACGTACCATTTATATTACTCGGACGTATTACCATCGGAATATAGAAGCGATGGTGTATTATTGATGAATTTTATCCCGGCGCAGCTATACGTCACATGCGAATTCATCTGGCGGTCTCTCAGCCGTGAAATTGCGTTTTAAAATTCCGTCTATAATATCGGAGAGTTTCACATTGCCTGTTGCTCGATGTAGCGTATGAAATTTTCATTGTCTTCATTCGATATTCCTGCTGGTTTTTTATTTCACTCGAAGTAGGTACAGATATCCTCTCTTTCACAAAAAAATCCGAACATTGTTGGAAGATTCATAAAAGGTAATTTTTTTGTCTATTTGTCTAATCTTCTGCTTCCCACACATGGTTGCATGCATTGGTGTAGGCATCAACAGGGTGCAAGGGAGTGCATTTGCAGAAGAAAATGCATAGAAAAATTGAGAATTTTCTCAATTGAGTCACTGTTTCAATGAAAACCTAGAGGTTCTGAGTTGCTGTCTAATAATTAGTAGATTGTTTCTTTAGGATCAAGAGTGACACTATGTACAGAAATTTAAGACACCCGTAAGCACGCTGAATAGATTTGCTGATGTGTTCCCTGAATTTCAAATTAGAAACAATAATTGAACCTTTATTTTTGGTTGCTGATACTAGTGTTGAAATTACACCTCCTACGACTAGGTTGATATCATTCTTCACCCGATTAATTCGACATTCATTACCAAATAATGCGTAAGTGGATCTTGTGGGATTAATATGAAGATTATGTCTCTTCATGTAGTGGTCGACGCCCGACGGAGTTTCATCTGACTCTCTTATCATCGATGCTGGTGTTCCGCAAGGATCAATTCTAGCACCAACACTTTTCCTCTCCCTCCATACCGCCTTCTCTTCCAAGGCTCCAATACCAGCCAGGCAAATCAGAAACAAACGAGGGAGAAATGTTGACATCATAAATATGGACTTGGCAACAATTCTCGAATGAGGATCCAATAACTTGGTAGATTTCAATGCAAACAAAACACAAGCATGCCTTCTCTCTAGAAAAGCCGATCTCACTGAGCCCAACATGAGCGTGTCAGGAGTAACCATTCTCTTGAAGACATCCATTTCGATGATTGGTGTTACTATCAGCAATAACCTTTCTTGGGAAAATCACGTGAGATCAATTGCTAGAAGTGCAACCCAATAAGTTGGTTTTCTGTGTCGGGCCAGGAGCTATTTCACCTCCAGTCATAGCTGCTTATGATCGATAAGACACAGATCCGACCTGTCCTGGAATACTGTTCCCATATTGGGAGTGCAACACAAAAAGATACCCTGAAACTGTTGGATTCTGTCCAAAAAAGGGCAATTCGTCTCGTGGATGATGCCTCGCTCACAAACTCACTCACTTCTCTGGAACACCGTAGAAAAATTTTCGATTTGGCTTCATTTTATAGATATTTTCATGGACAATGCTCTTCTGAAATATCAACAATTGTTCCTCTCTTGGCAGTCCCCGCGAGATTAACCCGTCGAGTTGAGGATGCGCACCCCTTCGTGGTCACTTTGGAGACCTGCAGAATATCTCTTTGCAAAGATTCGTTCATCCAACGAACAGCGAGGCTCTGGAACACATTGCCAAGGGAGGTGTTCCCCAAGGCATATAACCTCAAGAAATTTAAGATCATCAATTCCTACGTCATTTTCCTTGGTTCTCACGATGTTCTCGGAACATTACAGGATATCCCTTTTCGTGGGAACCAGAACATAAAAAATAGGCATCTTCGGGATGAAAACTATGGCTATTATCAGCATAGAAGTGGCTTTTACAGTCTGACAGGCAATTAGATAATTCAGCAGTATATAAAAGGTATAAAACTGGTCCCAGAATCAAACCCTGAGGAACACCATTATGCAAATTGATATATTGAGATTCACTATTGTTATTCGTAATTATTTGACTTCTTCCACTCAGGTAGCTGCAAACGAAATTTTGTGCTGTCAAGTTCAACTCAAAATATTTCAGCTTGGAAAGGTGAAGCTTTTGTGAAATCTTACATTACCAAGGCTGTAACTTTATGATTATCTCATTCTCTGATGATATCATCACATATATGCAGCATTGTGAAGTTTTTACATTTGGCTAAAACTGAGTCGAAACACATTCAAACCACTTTTTATGATACATGGTTGTATCTGAAAACCTTTCTCGAGATCCCAATACTGTGCAAATTTATTTTGGTCACACTGTATGAATCGAGGGACGGAACTAGGACCAAAAGGCAAGAGAGGAGAAATCACATCCTGGAGAATCCTTTTCTGGAATGTATCCTCCAAGCAAGGATGTGCTACTGTCCCGAGGGACCCAAATAGTATTATAGCACATTCATCTCGTCCAGAAGAATGGATGTTCTGTATGATAGCATCCGGAATTCCAGATTTACGAGACGCCTATAAAATATTCCAGCTACAGAAAGGATCTGAGCCGTACGTATACATATACAGAGTGGTCCACTTCATAGTAGCAAAATATCAACAATAGGCGAGTCGACTAATTTTTTTTATTTCTCATATAGAATCATCACTCAAATACCTTTCGATTTCATATTTTTTTAGAATTATTGTTCGGTCGGTTTTTAGGTATTTAAATCATCAATAATATAAGTATAAAGGACACCGCACGTTTTATAGGGAAAATTGGCCTCCTGTCGAATTGGCTGCATTTTTGATATGTTATCGTCCATTCTGAATAAAATATCCAAATACCAAACCGTTTTAATGACCAGTTTTGGCGCTAGAGGCCGCTGAAGTCTCAATCTCGATTTCTTTTCTCCTGATAAATAAAGATCTTTGGGCCATTATTATATTATTTTTTGATTGAATAAGTCACTACTAGAAGTATTCATGAATATTGTGTTGCTACTGGTCAACAACTATACAATGTGTTCCAGCGTTTATTGTTCAAGGCAATAATGATATTCATTAATTTTATACGAAAGGATATCGAGAAATGAGAAATCGAGAAATGTCCTATTTCAATTAAAAAATTCGCTTATTCGAATTCCATGGTCACCCTTTGTATCAGGAGAAGATTCACGAATATATCAACCCGTTCCATATAACAGCAGATGAATGATATTCGAATCAAACAAATATTTCAATATTCAATATTAATGTGATGATGTTTTTTCTAGTATTAATCTCCTATTTGTCAAGGTTTGAGAAGGAATGTTATTTTGCGTTTTCCCTCTTAAAACGGTTCCTATATGTATATAGCATCAATAGATCAGCACAAGTAACAAAGTTCACAACTTATTCAATATCTGCGATCCTCTGTCTCATCAACTTAGGATGATGAATTGATGATTTTTGAAAGAATTGTACGATTTTCGAGGCCGTGATATCTGAAATATATTGACATGCATTGGAAAGAACATACTAGGTATAATCAGAATTTTTTGACTAAGTCACAAGGAATATTCATCTAAAGATGCAAATGAATACTGATTCAACTGATGATAATATCTGCTACTGTTGTAGAACGAGGTAAGTAATCACTTTGTATATCTCCTCTTTATATACTAGGTGAACATTAAATAATAATAATAATAATAATTAACATGTTTTTATTGGAAGAACTGTTTCATACTTGAAATGCGCACGTGACAATTTTTTTTTATTGAATTCTTGGAAAGCATCATATTTTATCTCCCCCATAATTGCTGGAACACACTGTATAATTCTTGAGCAACGGCAACAATATAGAAGAAAACTTCTTTTAGTGAGTTATCCAATCAAAAAATAATATAATAATTGCTCAAATTGAAAAATTTATCAGAAGAAAAAAAAACAACATTGAGACTTCAGCAACCTCTAGCGCCAAAACTAGCCATTCGAACAGTTTGGTATCCGGACACTTTGTTCAGAATGTCTTGGACTATAACATATCGAAAATTCACACAATTCGACAGGAGGCCAATTTTCCCTATAAAACGTGCGGTGTCCTTTGCCGCGAGTAAAAACTGATTTCAGAACGCGTCATCCAAAGACGATTAACAACAATGTCAGAGGAACTAAACGCAATTCCAAACGAACAATTTGGTTTCAGGCGAAATCACTGCACAGAACTCCAAGTTCTCAGAATAGTAGATTACGCGATTACAGGATTCAATCTCGGAAAAGGACATTATATTGGAGCAGTCTTCCTTGACGTTTCGAAAGCATTCGACAGGGTCTCGCACGACGGACTACTGACCAAAATGGCAGACTACGGGTACCCGATATCTATGGTAAAGCTAATAGCCTCCTTTCTGCGGGGAAGGCGATGCCAATGTAAAGTTGGCAACGAAATCTCTCCAGAGAGGGAGCTAGAAGCAGGAGTACCGCAAGGTGCGGTCCTTTTACCACTACTTTTCTCCATTTTTACCGCAGATATCTCTAAACCCGCGAAAGACTTCAACAAACTCGCACTATACGCCGACGACACAGCCATAATTGCCAGATCCAGCAACGCAGACATGACAGTACGATACCTACAAGAACAAATCGACACACTAGAAACCTGGTTCAATAACTGGAAAATAGAAATAAACGCAGAGAAGAGCC